ACACGTGTCGTGCAGAAAGTCCCGCTGCACGTGCAGATAATCAGTTTTTATCATGAAACCCACTTAGACTAAATCCAAAATAAGCTTCTGAAGACACATTTCGTTTTCTTTTTCAATTCTGAAAAGCCACCATGTTTGTTTTTTTTATTGAAATGATCAAATGTTAGACATTTAATGGACTTCAACTTAGTGTCAAGTGTTCAAAAACCAACAAAACAACAAAAAAAAAATCCATTAAAAACACTCCAATAAGTATCAAGTATGACCGCATACACCGTCAAATAAATAATTGTACCTCCTCCGATGTAAAATACACTATTTCCACTTATAAATTAAGGCGGAATGCAGTTTATTGTGACTGCTCCTAAAACAAACTTACTTGCATTTTTCATGCAACTTTAACTAGACTGCTGAGAAAACTAAGCAGTAACATATGTCAGTAGAAAAAAGAAATTATAAAAAAAAGAAAGAAAGATAAAGATGACAGTCCAAGACTATTAACAAATTTCTATGACCTGCGTTGAGCAAGTGGAGAAATATTGCACAAAGTTAAGGATTGTGACACATAAATGACATGGAAATACTAAGTCGAATGCACTTTTAAGACCAAACTCTGAAGCTTGTAATGGGAGCGCTCCTCCAAGACAGTTTAAATATGATGGTGAATTATTGCTGTGGGGGGAAAAAATGCAGTTTCTAAAGTGAATCTTAGAAAGTGTGAGCACGTTCTGCTCCCAAGAATATCTACGGAGCGCCGTCAAGTGTTCTTTCTGCTCAATTTCTGCTGCGCTAAAACCAAAACAATCCTAACAATAATGCTCCACCTTTCACCAACTTCGACAGCAGAGCAACATACCGAATACTTCACAATAAGATGAGCTGTGACAAGCCAAACGATCTACGGAGTGTTCATGAGCGGCGAAACAAAGCGCTAGTTTAAAGTAACCTCCATTAGACAAGGATCAGAGCAGTGGGTCTGGAACTAAAAGCGTGAACAATGTTGACTTGTTTGTCATGTTAAAATATCGTACATCACTAACGCACAATAAATTTGGCTTCACTTAAGATAACTACACTGAAGAGCCAATCGTTTATTCTGCATGTGCGACGCCCTCCATAAACATCCAGGTATTAAAAGCTGATCTACAGAGTCGGGTGTCAAATAATAAACCTGACGTCAAATTTGTAACTGCGGAAAAGACAACTGTACAACCAGTGGTGCCGACATAATACTTCGGTTTGCAGATTTTGGTTGCTCTTCAGTGGTTTAAATTTCATCAGCCTTTGCAGAAATGTCAGCTTTCCTCCAAGTGTCTGTGCACAGTTTAAGTCATCTCAATTTAACTCAACCTACATTGGTCCGTATGCAGCTAACCTTTCAAATTCTCTCAGAAGCTAGAAGCTTCCGATGGAGATACTGTTTTGTAACAGCCTGTTCTTATTTGCCCAGCACTGCAGGTTTACTAACTCAGAAAAACAACAGAACAAAACTCCAAACCAAATCTAAAAAGGTAAAGAAAAAAAGAAAACCAAACAAAACTTTCAGCAAAAGAAAATAAAATTTAATGGTTTTACGTTCAAAGTGAAACAACCAAAACAAAAGAAAGGAAGAAAATAAAGCAAATCTAAGCTGAAATCAACAACAAAGGCCATTAATTTCTCTTCAAACTTGAGATAAGCACTCATTAAAACAAGTTTGTAACTTACACTGTAACAAATAAAAATGTATGCTTCTACAAAGGAAAAAAAAAAAAAAAAGAAAAGAAAGAAAAGAAAATCCAAACAAAAAGAAAACAAATTAACTTGAAATGAAAGAAATAAAATGAAACAGAAGTGATGTTGCTCTCGGTAAGCATCGGATATAACCTTAGTACCTCTTCAAAAAAAGAAATCCAAAAAGGTCTAAATTTGCCGTATGTAATAGAAACTCTTCTGGGGGGTTATAGGATGAAATCTCTCCCTGCCTTTGGTCCATCTTGATTTCTTACTCACTGACTGGGCTATATTTTCAACAGGACTCTCCTGAAATACAACTTACAATAAAAAGACACTTTACAACGGGATAACGAAACAAAAAAAAAAAAACCATTCCCCTCCAGAGCTCATGGTGTTTAAAAGTGTTAAACCTGTTCGGAGGGTGAGCAAAAGATTAACATCAAACAGACTGATATTCATAGCAACCTAAAACAGATTGTTTAAAAGTGCTTTGCTCTTAGATTGAAACAGCGAGTGGTTTTGAAAGGTCTGCGTCCGCTGGATGATAATTTAAGGCATCTATTTCTACTTGTGACGAGGATCCAGGACAGAGCACTGCTTTTTCAAACTGAAACGACCACTGCCTAACAAGAAAATATTCTTCTTCTCCCGTTTTTACTCAATAAATTATCCGCTAAAATGTCGACACTTGGGGAACACTTTGTCGGGCTTTTCTCTGTATTTTCAGAGCACTGCTAAGAACCAATTGTCTCTCTCTCTCTTTTTTTTTTTTTTTCCTCTAGCCCTCACACATGCAACATACAAACGGTATTTAAGCTTTTGAGATAATTTTCAATTATACTGGGCGGTGATTTGGGATTTTTCTCTATCACTCCCAAAAAATGTTAAACTGTCGTCAAGCCCCAAGCGAGAGTATAATGATGGAACAGAAACAACCTGGACACTCTTTTAGACAATTACAAAGGTGCAGAAGAGTGAACTTCTTATTGAAACTTTGAATATGCCAAAAACCAAATTGGTGTGCCAGACTTTGCAAACTCATCAGCTTTTTCGCAACAAAAACCTGGCACAGGTTATTTCCCGCTCTCCTCTACACCTGATTGTCCAGCCTTTTCTACTTGTGGCCCTTGCTGGTCTTAAAGGACACTTGCAGCATCTTGTCTCCGAGCCGGTAGCCGTTCAGGCTGGCGATGGCCATGGCCGCCTCCTCGTAGTTTGTCATGGTAACGAAGCCGAAGCCCTTGCACTTGTTGGTGTTGAAGTCTCGGATCACCTTGACGTTGGTGACGGCGCCGAAGGGACCGAACATCTGCCACAGGATGCTCTCGTCTGCGTCCTGGCCCAGGTTGTAGATGAAGATGCACCAGCCAGAGGTGGAGTTTCCTGGGACGCCGACACCTCCCATGCTGCCCATGTGGTCAACGCCCATGGGGGAAAACCTGAAAGTGGGAGTGTTTAGGGTACTTGCAGCAACTAAGAATCATACTTATTATCAATGAATCTATTAATTATTCTCTTAACTTATTATTTGATCCATAAAAAGTCAGGAAACAGTAAAATTGTGTCAAATGGAATTTCCTAAAACAAGAGGTCCACCTATTTAAATGCCTTGTTTTGTTCTATTAAAAATACTTGAACATCACTTCTGCTGATTGCTTCTGTTCTCTAGTTTCCAGCTTTAGTTCATTTACCTCTGTGATGTGTAATAAAACTCAGCATATATTCGCAAGTTGTCTCACCTAAAGCGCTGTGCCTGGTGGTGTAAGGGCCCTCCGAAGCGTCGGGACTGGTTGTGGTAGAGCTGAGAGATGAGCTGCGTGTTCTTCGCCTGGTTTGGGTTGGCAGCAAACTTCACTGTGATCGGCTCAGCAGCTCCCGGTGGCTTTTGGCCATTCAGGTTTTTGACAGCTTCCTCTGCCTCTGCCCGCTTGTCAAACCGAATGAAAGCCACGCCACGGGACACACCTGGGTACGAGAGAGCGGCTGGTGACTGTCTATCTTGGTGGAAGCAACAGCACTATGTTTCAAGATGAACATCGCTGTGCTTTGTTGGCTATTTGAATGTCTGAGAATTTGTAAAAAAAGCAAGGAAGTCATTCACCTGTCGTACCTGTGGCCTGATCAGCCAGTACCCGTGAATTAATGATGCGGCCATAACGTGAAAACATGTCCTCCACATCCTTCTGAGTCATGGACTTGGGCAGGCCGCTGATATACAGGTTAGCATCCTTTATTGTATCCGAGCTGGGCCGTGCATATGAAACCTGGCAGGAAGCAACAATCGCCTGATTAAAATACTTCAAACGCACAAGAATTATTTTAAAACCAAAAATAACTATCAGAAGTAAAACTAGAACATCTAAATATTTTGGGGATTTACAGAAGCAGTTATATTAGGTGTTTTACAATCAACTCATTGACCTGAAAGGTTCTGTCTATTTATTAAAAAACACTTTGGATTTAATAAAAGAAAAACTAAACAAAATAACCTGGGAAGACAACTGTTACCTAAGTAGTTTAAGACATTAAGTCTTTGGTCTGAGCAAAAATGAATGGAGTCAGAAGCACAAAAGAACATTACAGCAACAAAAAATGAAATCAAACTGATCAAAAAAAATAAAGGAAAGTACTTTTGGGGGGGGAATTAAATACATGAAATAAACTGAATCTGACAGAATGTGTCAAATAAAATAAAGAAAAATTAAAGTCAAACTCAACAGACATGTCAGATAGGGCAGTAAGTGAGCTGTAAAAGCAGAATCACTTCCTCGGGCTGACATGTACTAGCTAGTTAGCGGACAGCACAGGAGCCACAGGAGAGTTATATGACATAACATCTTTGCTTTGAGAATTGTAGAACACCTTGTTGCACGTTACCTTGATAGTTTTGGACTGTAGCCTTAGTCCATTCAGTGTACTGATAGCTCTGTCTGCATCACTAGGGTTAAGATAGTTAACAAATCCGTACCCTAAACTGTGGCCTAGAGAAAAAAAAAGGAAAACAATAAAATAAAACAAAAAAACGTTGTATAGTTAAAAAAAATCTGCAAACAAATAAATATTAAAAACAAAAACAAATCTTGACATTGCATGCTAGGCTAAAACAAACAAACAAAGAAACTGTCTACAGTTAAACAGGGTTGGACTGGTTGGAATAAAACACGTCTATGGTGGTCAAAAACGTTGATCAAACTACTACCCAAGTCGAATCAATTTGGGATAACTTTGAAATAAAAATAACATTACAGAAACACTGGGGATAGAGGAGCCAGAAAACAGGCCGTTAGTACGTAGCCTGCCAATAAACACAAAGTTATTCATAAAAAGTGATATGCCAAACAATTATCCAAGTCATGAATCTGAACCACCATTGGCATTTTCAGACGCTGTGGTCACACCTTGTATTTTTTTTTGCACAGTCTGTAACAGGAATCCTTTTTTAAAATTTAAACCTAAATCTTGTGTTTAAAGCGTTGATCTGGTCTGTCACATGTCTTATTGCTTCACAGCTGGGCATACCTGCGACTTTGTCTCGAATCAGCTTGGCAGACTCCACCTCTCCGATGCTGCTGAAGAGGCTCCGCAGCTCATCCTGCGACATGCTCTGAGGCAGGTAGTTCACTATCAGGTTGGTCTTGGCGTCCTTCCCCTCGTCCCCTCCCATGTGGTCTTCATAACCGTTTGACATGTCATAAACCTCCTGCGGGTCAGCCAGGTGGGCCGAAAAAACACAAAGCGAGGTAAGTATGCAAGGTAGAGAGAGCTACAGCTGAAAAAAGAGCCAATTAATTAATTACAACTGACAGAAAGCAACTATTGTAAATTGCCTTTGAATTAAGACAATCTGCTGCTTTACTTTTTCCACATGACCGGAAATGTTAATATAACTTAAAGTCAAATAAGACAATGCAAATTCTAATGTGCATATTCCACTGTTTCTGCTGAACTGTGGGTAAAAATGATAAAAAGCTAACATTTGTGAGGAAAACACACGACACTGCACTATAACTTATACAGTACATGTTGAACTAAGCTTGCCTCTACCCCACCACCTCAAACAAACCTCATTGCATAACTGACACAGAAACTGGAGCACAGAGACTGAAAACATATTTAACACTTTTTTTTTTCCTATCTCTAACAAAACCCGTTTGTGGTGAAGCTCTCCCACATTAAGCCAGTTCATAAAAAACACAGCTTGAGGAGTCAACCAGAGGAACCAGGGACTAAACTTGGTTCTTGCACCAAAAAAAAAAAAAAATACCAACTCCAGAGGACGTTCTTTCCAAAGACTCATGAAATTAGGATGCACAGTTTGACGTTTGGCTGATGGTCACTAACTGGCAAAACACAGACACCGCAGTGACTTTATCTTGTGTAACATTTACCTCCTAAAAGAATAAGTAATGTAGTAGTTATTTCTTGTCATTTATTGCAGAAAAAACAAAGTTAGATTTTGATGTCTGCATCCTGACTTCCTTAATAAACTGATAGAGGGAGTGTGAATGAAATCAGAACGGAGGATCTGCAGTAGTTGTTTTTTCCCCAATCCCATGTCTATCTATAGATTTTTCATTCACTCATTACTTCTAACACAAACATCAGTCACACCATCATCCACCTAATCTGATTTTCCTGTCAACTCCTTTGTGTCCTTCAAGCTTTAGTTGCTAATTTACCTTCTTTCGATTCATGGTTTCTAGAACGTTATTTTATCTGGAGCGTCCATACAGTGTAATTACAGTTCTCAAAAGAAGAATAGAGGATGAAGTCATAAAGGCACATAATTCTAACTAATTATATTACATAAGCATGTGACTGGATTTAAACTGCAAACTGGTCTCAAAGTAGCGGTTTACACAAAGCCAGCATGAAATTTAAACAACGCAATATAAAGTAGGTAAGTAACTCCTTCATCCCCATGATTATCTCAATCACATGGCAGTATGTGGTGTACTCTGCAAACAAATTAAAGCCTCTAAGATTAGTTCAAATAACAATGCAAAGTGCCCATATCAAAAAGTAGAGCCTGACGCGAAAATACTTTTTAAAAAAGTTGCTTCTGCTATCTGTTCAGCAGTGTGTGCCCTGTTGGACACATTAGCTGGCGAGTTAAACAGGATCAGGCCTGAAATGGGAACCAGTCCAGCAGTCAACCTGACAGAGGTCCATTCATGCCAAAGAAGGATTGTGATTGTGTATTCTGGTGGGTAGGATGCACTGTTTGTGAGGATGAATGAGAGTCCTGTATTAAAGCAGTAAACATGGGCAAAGTTGGTAGGAGCTGCACTGCATGTGTGCTTTTCATGATCTCTATGCAATCTGATATTTAAAGAATGAAATTATTAGTCCCAGTAAATTACAACAAGGCTTTGTCTAGTTTTCAGTATAACGTGAAACTCTATGAGGCTGCACATTTCCCACAGCAAAAGATCTTTACTTCTTTGTGACTGTTCATTCAATTCTTTGTCAACCACAACGACACCAAAAGTATCCGATCATAGGATATCTCACACTGCAGCAGTGCTAGAAAGAGGACCTGGGATTTAATACTCACTTTCAAGTATCTAATGTGTCCTCGACGAATTGCCATGAAGACACTTCACTGCTCCTGAGGCTGGATGAGGATGAGACAAAAATCACACAATGTGACAAAGACCAGAAAAACACAGTGTTAAGCAAATATTCACCCGACAACCAGATGAAAATGTTAGTGCACTTTTTATGTTGTTCTCTACTCTTCCACGCTCAACAAAACTGTTTTAATCAGAGTATGTATTGCAGCTTATAATGTGCTTCTGCTTGAATTCCTCCTTTAATACACATTTTACAAGTTTGGTGCAGATTTAAAGACATTACAAAGTGGTGCACACATTGAGGGAATAGCCTGAAACTACAACAAAGGGACTGTTCATGATTACGACTAGCTCCACTGACTGGTGATCAATTTGTCCAGTTTTGTGCAGAATGGATTTCTTACATCCATTCCCGCACGGTGCCGTTGGGACAGCACTTTTGCGATCAATTAAGTGTATATCAACGGCATGTGCCCAGACAGTAAAAGCTGCTTTGTGTGATCTGCAGTATTGACTTTTACTATTCTGGACTGGAGCTTTAGCCAGCACAGCCAAGCATGTCGGTTTGTCTCCTGTGATGGAGAGGGGTGATCAGCTACTTTCTCTCCCATCCACCTTTTGGTACAGTGTGATAGTTTAATAGCATATTAAATGTCGCTGGAATAACCACGGTGTAATCATGGTAAACCTGGAGGACAGGATGCTGCAGATGAAACACTGACTGTGAAGTGACAATGCAGGCTTAATAGATCACCACAGGGCGAATTTTACAGTATGGTAAAACAAACACTTGCAGTCCTCTGTGCATTTCAGAAATATCCCAGATAATAATAGCAGTATATCTCTGACAAATCAGTCCTAAAAAGCACTGGCCAGGAACAATATGCCTGGAGACAGTATGGGCATGCTGTGATGTTTGAATTTAACGGTGTCAGAACATTTCTAATTGAGCACCATTAGTAAAATTGGCTTAGTGTGCCAGCATTTGTTATAATAGAAGATAGCCAGGTGAAGATGTTGTAGGTGGATGGTCGAGCCAGAATTTGGACGTGCAGCGTTTGAATAACTGCAAAATATGGAGGAAACGTGAGCTAGCGTCCTCACAATGTGACTGGTTCACATGAAAACTACTACCTAGCCGAGTTAATTTTGCTCTCCTGAAATCACAACCTTCCCTTTCAGTGGTGCATCCGTTTTTACTACTGCCCAACAAACGCCACATCAATTCACGACACAGCTCCCACTCGGAAACGTGCAGCGGCCTGATTAGCATTACTTTAAATTACTAGCATTAGCATGCTAGCAAGCGGCATGCTGTCCGTCTTCTCCGGTTGGAAGGGCAAATTTTCTGTCTAACCTGGATCGACAAAAACAGGTAATAATGCAACTAAACTTCAATAAATATATATTAATATAATTACTAGCACTATAAAGAAACTACTTAAAGTGGTGGCGTCGTGCTGGCTAGCGAATGTAAAGCACCGAGACCCTATTTTGGAGAACGTCGGATCGATGCCTCTCTGTCCCCGCGCCTAAACCGGAGCGGCCTGCTAACAGGCCACGGAGGCTAATGCTAGCCGTCGTTAGCTAACGGTTCCGCGGGCCCCGAGAGCAGCATGGCAGCCGTTGGCCTTTGGAAAAACCTTCAAACGCCGAAATATACACGCAAGAGGCTTCGGGAGAGATTTATCAGCGTTCATCCCCTCACCAGCTTTTTGTGGGTAGTTGTTGTTCCTGCTTTCTTCTCCTATTTCTCTCCCTTCTTGGCGACGTTCACTTCCCTCCAAGTCGGCCTCACGCAGTGAAGAAACCGAGAAAGGAGCTACGTAAGCGGCCACGCCCACCCGCGCCCTGGCACGCCTCTGCAGGAGACAGCGTGCTGCACATCCTCGGTCAACATACACGGCTGAAATGGAGCCAATCAAAAATATTAACAAAGCATGCAATGTTTTTTTTGCTTTTTGTTTTTTTAAATTCTACAATTATGCAACAGAATGGTTTCCATGAAACAACCCAGTATGCATTCCACTGGAAATGGGCAGATGGAGAGAAGGATCACAGACCTGAAATCACAAGTCATAAACTAGTGCCTTCACGTTTTGCATCGAGCAGTACCACACATCTGCAACGCATGGATTTATGAGGTTATCCATACTGCTGTGCGAGATGCTGTCCAACTCTTTAGACATTATAAGTAAGACATTATATACATAATACTGCATCGACACAGATCCATTTCAGTTCATCAGAAAGTGGAGTCTAACAATGGTACAACCATATTAACCTATGTAACACATAAAAGCAAACTATTTCCTTTGGTTTGGTTTAATAGCATCTAATATGTTGATCGGGAACTTTCACTGTAATTAAATGTGCAAACCCATTTTGTGTACTACTTCACAATACTATAAAATTCTCCCACAAAAAAAAGGCATTTCAATGACAAATTTGACTGATTTTGTATTTATCATGAAGCCGAACTAATACATTTTGCTTTTCACTGCTTAATTGAAGTAATCGGTATGACAAAATAAAGAAAAATGTGAAGCTCATCTCATTAAACAAAAAATAAACGATGATGATAATTTATAGGCGGTTATTTAGGGGTTGCATTACACTATAGAGACCAGTATATACCTTGTACATACTTAATACGTGATAATACTTGTAGAGAAGCATTGTGATGGATCTTTAAGTACAGTAAAACTTGCTAGCAGGAAATGTTTCGGTGTTACACGATAGCAAAGAAACAACATTCTCAACGACACATCTGGAAAACATAATGGTCTTGTAATGTTTTCATTTTGAGAACTTCAAAAAATAAAGCACATAAAGGGTTTATTTAGAGCAAAAAAATTCTACCTAGGTAAGCAAAAATGCATATTAAATTTATTTGTTCGTAAAATGTTCTAAGAAAGTTGTAGTAATGTTTTCAGCCAAAGAAAAAACTGTACCTTCATCCCAACGACAGCTCATATTCACCCAAACAGAAGATGTGACTTGTTGCCACTAATCTGTAGAGTCAGACCACATCACTGAGCCTAAAACAGACACAGAATGGTGATGCAGTATATCTAAAGTGACAAAAAGTCTTCTTTTTGTTGCCAGGAAATCCCGTAATTAACACTAAAACTGAATTTCACAAAATATCTTTTGCTACTTTTGTGTTACATGTTGTGTCTATTATTCAATAATGGTACATTTTGCACAATATACAACGACACACTATGTACAATACAGCGCTCTCCCATCTGTTGCTGTGCGTTTAGGTTTTTCCAGTGTTTGATATCCCACAGAAGGTTGTTCTATCATCAGCTGGGCCATCGTCAGAAACACAACAACCTGCAGGAAAAGAGGATATTGGTTGAAAAGTTGAAACAACAACAAAAACACTGGTACATTAGAAGCAAAAAAAAGCATGAGCAAAGTTAAGGCCTGAGGTTTGGGTTTTGTGGAGGTGAAGCAAGTGAGGGCAAAATGATCATAGCTGAGTGTAGCTTAAGACAGCTATCAGTCAAAATAAAGCTCTAAGCCTTAATATTGTCGTCATGGAAAGTTTCCATCAAGGGAAAGTGATGAATTTCCATTTTTTAAAACAACTTGGTTCAGATGTAGCTGCTTGCTTTCATGTCCCTTATTGACTATGTTCTATTTTTGAAATGCTATATACACAATTTTCAGTCATTTTTGCACCATAATAAACATGACTGGGGCATGTGGATGTGCATATGTGTTCACACAAGTGATCACATCTTCTCTTGGTCCTCACTGCTGCCGGTGTATTTCTCAAACACTCCACTGAGGGTTGCTGTCTCTGACTCCAGCTACACGGAAAGTCAGTGGACTCAAGGAACAGAAACTTACTTTTTTTTCTCCCCGGAAAAGTTGCTGTCCAATGCGAAGGAATTTTGGTGTCCCTTAACAGAGCGGGGGAAAAAAAGCCAGCGCTGAAGCCGTGCTTCCCAAAACAAAGATCTCAACTAGCAGACAAATGAATTGGAGAGGAAAACCTTTTCTTATAAACGGTCCACATACTGAAAACAGATACCCACATTTGCACTAACAGCCTCACCAGTCCCTGCAGACAGGAGGAATCCCTGAGGCTCAGCCAGGACCCGAGGCACCCGGTGGCCAAAAGGAACAAGGCGTTGGTTAAAGTGAGGACTACTGGCAGGGTGATGTAGGCCTGAGAGAAAAACAGGCTGCTTTTACTGTATCAGCAGCACTGTATCTCAGGCCCATCAACGACCCCACCACCTGGTCAATTAAAAAAAAGAAAAAGGAAGGCAAAGACTGAATATTTAGGCCTCAAGGTCTCACAAATCAGCTCCTTTTGAGACTCCTTTATCTGTTATTCATAATACTTTTGAATTTGGCTGTTAACTGTTACAACCAAGAGAAGATAAACTCAGCAAAGTGAAGGGAAAAGCGTATTGGTGTTCTTTGTTTTACTGGGAGGCGAGCTGTTTCCTCATGCTTCCAGTCTTTATATCTGTAGATGCCAGCCTTACATAATCAGCGTGGTATCGATCTTGTCATGTAACTCTTGGCAAGGAAGTGAAATTTCTACTCCGAGCGATGCTTTCTTGCAGGAATACTTTGTTTAAATCCATCCGCTGGCCGCTGCAGCTCCACTGGAATAGTTCAGTGTTCAGGGCAGCTGAGGGTTCATTCTAATGAAGGAGCAAAGTGCTCTGGGAACTGAACTGGTAAACTTCCAGTCTCAAAAATGGGCCATTTGGGGTGATGGCTACACATGACACTAAGCGTGGTCGATACATACACTCAGTTCTTTTTGGCACTGGTGATTTTCTTTCATCTCTTACAGATCTCTTTGAATCTCCACTATGGAGGATAAACCTGCTGCACAGATGGTTCATAAACTTTGCCAGCTAAAGTTCTCTTGTAAATAATCATCCCAGACTAAGTCAACCTAATGAGTGAACCACAGACAATGTGTTCTGTGGATGTGGAGACTGTGTGTCCAGAATAACAATGACCCACAAACTGAACTCCATTGATGTCCACTTTGGAGGACGTTCAGAGACAAAGGGAATCCACGTAACTAAATGCCCCAAAACGTATTTTTTTAAGACTGTATTTATGTATGTTATAGCATCAACAGTAGTGTTTGGGCTGAGTGCAATAAGTTGTGTTTGCATTAGTAAGCTATTACTGGCTATCTGGTGCCTTGCAGATTGTCACAAATATTGCAGTCAGCTATAGCAAATTTGAAAGCTGCCTGTAATGATCCACTTTACACACAGGTGTAGATTGCTTGTTCTTCCCTCTACAACATTCTTGCAAGTTGAAACTAAATCTTAAAACTTTGGGGCAATATTTAAAGTCTCTTGAAGCAAATCAAGAGGCTGCATGTTGCTGGAATTTGTCCAATTAAAAAGAAGTTCCCATTTGAAGAGGCCGACTGAAGCTTAAAACTGTTTATTTTGTGGAATGTTGCAAATAATAATTAAAAAAAAAAAAAAAAGTTCCTGCCACTGCCCTCAAGCTGTGTGTGGCCTGTTTTTTTTTTTTGGTTTTTTTTTAATGTTAACTTTATCCAAAACAAAGTCAATTTACCACAATCTTATTACAATACAACTGTGGCTACATGCACGCACTGCCACATGGAGAGAATCAAAGTGTTCTAATAAGGGACTAAACATACCCAAAAATTATTTTCATGAAGATATACAGTATTTTACCAGATGTGTTACAAGAGGAAAGATGTATAAAAATGTCTAATTCCACTCCAGCTGCTTTCATTGTCTCGAGTTTGTGTCTCTCACATGAACTCTTGTGTCATGTGAGTCAAATATGAGGATTCAACTTGTAACTCTGTTTTTATATTCCTATTTTAAACCAAAGGAAATATCAAGGCTTTGGGGGGGGGATCTATTATCAGCAATAGTTCCCCAGATAACAGGGAGTGTTTCTGCAACACTGGCTTAAATTACCTACAGTTGGGCGCCCGTATAGCTCACCTGGTTGAGTGGGCAACCCATGAACAGGGGCTACAGTCCCCGACGCAGCGGTTGTGAGTTCGAATCCCGCTCACGACCCTTTGCTGCAGGTCTCTCCCCCCTTTCCTGTCTCTCTCCACTGCTCTACATAAAGGCAAAAAGCCCCAAAAAATATATTTAAATTACCTACAATTACAATAATGTTTAGAAGAAAATACTTTAATGTTCAAAGAAGGTATTGAGAATACTTCTTGTTTCAAATGATGTCTCTATGAGGTTAAACGAAGGCAGAACGTCTCAGACGGTGTAGTATCTGTAATTTACCAAAACAAGGATTATATGCAAAACATTAAAAAAAAACAAAAAAAACTCCAATTTTAAATCCTTAATCTATATATTTTTTCTTTCCAAAAATGGCCAATATCAGTAAAATAACAATATATGGGCCATTTTAAATACTGTAAAACATGCAGTTTTCTTATTTACAGTTTTTACCTGTTTTAAAATGTTAAAATGCAAATTAGTGCAATTTTTCTATAATTTTGTTTGTTAGAAATTAATCAAACGTTTAAATCAGACGCCGTTTCTCGAGGCTTTAAAACAGTGAATCGTCACCAGAATAGGTTTTGATTCCCACTACATTGTAAAAGTGATCGAGGGGGACTTGAACTTGAAAACAATAAACATGGTTAAGTTCTTGTTGTTTTAGTGGCGTTAATGTGTTCTAGTTTGTGCTTGGTGAGGTTCCTGTCAGCTCTGTGTTCAGTGGTCTGTGTCAGAGTTTCTTCCTCTTCAGCAGCTGCAGTCGCTTCCTGCTGTAACAGCTCAGAGTCTCTGCAGTCTGACTGAGGAGGTTTTTGTACGACCATAAATCACTGTGTCAACACACAGGCACTGTTTATGACATGAAAACTCTTACAGTAATAAACTGCTGCATCTTCAGCCTGAACTCCACTGATGGTCAAAGTGAAGTCAGAGCCGCTTCCACTGCCACTAAACCGAGCTGGAGTTCCTGAATGACTGATGCTCACATGTCTTACAAGGAGTTTCGGAGTCTGTCCAGATTTCTGTTGATACCAGAACATACACGAACCATGAGTGCACGAGGCAACATCCTGACTGGTCTTACAGGTCAGAGTGACAGTGGATCCTGGAGTAACTGTCTTGACTGGAGGTTGAGTCACAGTCACCTGACCGCTGCATCCTGCAGACACAAACACATTATTCATTCATCAGCACAAATACATGAGACAAAAGGCAGCAGGTAATCACTGAAATGTTGCTGAGTGAATGAACCTGTAAAGCAG